AGAAAAGTATGAATACTAATATCAAGAAACAAAAATCTTTTAAAATTACTAATTTTTTTGTTGCTAGCATTTAAGTATATGTTCTCTATAAGAAATTAGTTCTCATAAATAATGATTTGATATTATCATAAGATAGACCACAAACTTCAATAATGACTTCATAATAATAAAGTTAACAGATGACTAAGAGTATCATAATATAGTATAATTCAAATTCTTCTCATCTGAAATATTTTGACAAATACTTCTCAATATTGTCTCATTGTTTTGTTTTGTTTTGTTATTATTGAAGAATCAATAAAGGATCTTTATCTTGAATATTTTAAGCATTAGTTATGATACAAAAGATTAGACAATAAATGCAACAAATGTTATTAGACACATAAATATTGCAAATCCGAAGGAATATGGAAGGTATCTATCTCCCAAATTAGTAACACTGAAAAGGGAATATTTGATACTGATTAAAATATTTTTGAATGTTGAATAAGTTGTCACTTTTTGATAAGAATATTTACAATCATAACTGTGTATTATGCTCGATCATACGCGCAATTGTTTTAGAGTACGCATTTTCATGTAATGTGTGATGATTTCAAAAAAATAATTTAGCATCTTCAGAGAAGTACATGATTTGGGAAAATCAAATTTTATTTAGAGATGAAATTCGTTCCCACCTCATGGGTATGTACCAATTTGTCTATGTGGAGAGAGAGAGAGAGAGAGATATGTAGTAGTTTATACAGTGATTAAAAGAAATATCAAGAATTTTAATGACACAAATATCAAGAAATTTAATGCTACAATTGCTTATTTCACAGAGATAAGTTAGCATGTTTGTTTATAAAACTTTTTGGTTTTGTTTAGATTTTTTGGTTTGGTTTGGTTAATTTTGAAAAATGTGGTATGGTTAGTTGTTAGTAGGTATATTAAAATAATATTTATAATAAAATAATTAAAATTGATGTGATGCAAAAGTATGAGAGAGATATTTGAAGTGATGGTTAGTTAAAATAATGTGAGTGGATGAATAGTGAATTAAGGTTGATGTGGTGTGTATGAATGATTGATATATATTATTTAATTATATTGATAATTTTGATGATAGTGAGAGTGAGTTAAAGTTGAGTTAAAAAAAGTGGTTGAGTTAAAATGTAGAATTTTTTTTGAAAATTTCTTATAAACAAACATGCTCATGAACTATTAGTAGAAATACCTTATAATAATCATACAATTATAAAGTTTGACTATATGTTTGGCTATTGTATTTCTAAGTGTTGAATAAAACAGACGTTTTGTCAAATTAATTAAGAAGAATTTTGCAATACTATTGATGTATTAGAATTCAACGAGTATGAATGTTTCTTATGAGAACAAAATGACTCTTGAATCTAACATAAATAAATAAAAGAACTCATGCATCTATAATATACATTATATCTCTATTTAGTCATTTATTGTTTTTTCATTAGGAACTCATTTTTCATATATTTTTTTTGGAGTTGTAATATGATATATAAATTTTTTTATATTACGACAACATTTTTTTATTTAAAATAAAATGCATGAAAAGTTTATTTATTCTATATTTTATTTTGTTCCTGCAGTCATATGTGTAATAAATTAATTAATTTATCGTACTAAATTTAATCGGTAAAAAACATTCGTCGCCACGTGCATCGCACGTGCACTTTACTAGTTAAGCAAATATCAGGGAAAATTAAATGCAATTGGATAATTAATTGCAATCAAATATATCATTAATTACACCCTCTCTCTATCTCTATGTTATTATGGCTCTCTCTGCAAAACCATCCCTCCGCCCACGTTCCCCCATCTCTTTGCAAAAAAACCCTCATCGGTTTTTTAGATATGCTCGAAGGAGGAGGAGCCATTTTCGGATCTTTCACTGGCCCGAGTTTTTCATTTATTCGAATTAGTACTCAAATTACTTTTGGGATTTGCCTTGGGACCAGTCAACCCGTTTGCTTGGGATATTGGGGTCTTAAAGGAATTCAGGGGAATCGGAGATTGTATGTTCGTACCAAAATCTTGCAACAGTCAGTGCACCCACATATACGCCGCTCTAATGCAAATCCCATGTGTGTTTTTGTGTTACGATATCGTATTCTTTTCAATTTCATGAGTTTTTTGTCTGTACAGCGGTAATGTTGTCAGATTAGAAGCCCATATGATTTTTTTTTCTCTCTGTGTGATGTTTATCGTTTGAATGTCTGAGCTGCTGTTTGGGTTCTGTAAGGGTTGAGGACTTGTTGCTCGAATTGATTTTTGGAAACTTCAGTTATGCAAGTATTATAATGACAACAATTTATTTTTTCAATTCTGACAATGAACCTGCTGGGAAATCTTAGGCTAGCCTGTGAGAATTTACAGAAAGGTACTGTTGTGTAAGGCATTGAAGCCAGTGTTTCATTTTTTGCTCGATAATTGCTATTTGACATTCTAAATTATATGTATAGTATATCTACAATATATGTGCATTATATATTCACGGCGGTATATGTTGCGTGTATAGGTATATCTGGTGTGTATAGTGAGTATATGTTCAGTATATATTGTATATATAAGAAGTATATACTAAATATAAACTCAATATATACTGTCTATTCAAGACATGAAATGAATATAAGTAACTTGTTGTAATATGCTTATAAACTATATATATACTTTTATGTTTTTTTTTATGGTTTTGTGGTGTATATGTATGGTTTTTTATTCTAGTAAAATTCTTTACAAAGCATAATAGTAAAAGAAACATGTAAACTCAACATATACTAAAATATATTCAAAATCTTCTTTAAAACAAGTATAAATAGATTTTTTGTTTTCTTCGTGTATATGTTAGGTTTATATACATAGTCCAAACAAGCATAACCGTTATTAATGAACTCTCGACAGTTTAACTGTGATTAGGGCTTATATTCAGTATATTTTCAAAATATGCTGCGGTTTCTACCACCTCGCGAAAAACTATTCCCGTAATCCATTCTCCACCATAATATCTGTAAGATATTTTTTCTTTTTTTTTTTTTTTTTTGNTTTTTTTTTTTTTTTTTCTAGTAACCAAAACGGAAATCATGCATTAGATAAGGCGAGGTTAGCATTAAATAGCAACTGAATCTAAGCATTATCTCAATTAAATGTTATCTTTTAGGTAAAAACATAATTAATTGTAGGTGTATGGTATAATTGTAATACTAGTACGTACCCCGTGCGATGCACGGAAGAGAGATATTAAATGAATTATTTTCAAAGGCTCTGTCCGTTTAAGTCTGAGAAGGGTTATTATTCATTTTTCACCTATTTTAATCACCGCTAAGTCTCGTTTAAGTCTGAAAAGAGTTATCATCTATTTTCCACCTCTTTTAATCACCGTTAAGTCTAAAAAAATAGGGTTGTAATCTATTTTTCACATCTTTTAATCAGCGTTGTTTTATTAGTAGAACATTAAACGTGAGCATGTTAGGGTTAACTTGTAAAATAATTAATATATTATCTCACTAACACATTTATACTAATATAAATTTAATTTTATTATATATATTTATTCCTTGATACAAGAGAAAATAACAATTTTACTTATTCTTATTCACTAGATAATAGTTAATTATTAAACTCTATTGTCATATAATGTCATTATTATTTATAAAGTTATACAAGTTGCATGTCTTCTTGTTCTTTTTATTTTATGCAATGAAATATATTTAATGCACGTTGGTATTATTTATATAAGTAATCAATTTAAAATCTATAAATAAATTTAAAATTAAATAGTGTATAAATAATGTACAAAATATACACATATATTTTCTTAGAATTTAATTTTGTATACTAATTAAACAACTTTGATTTAAGAAAAGCCATGAACTCAATCTCTTCTAATATCAATATTTTTCTAATTTGCATTATAATGATTATTCTTATTATATATATAGATTAGAATTTTTGCGACACCAACCAAACTAAATATCACAACAACCAAATAACAATTATGAAAAAACCCATAACACAACAACTATCAATTAAATTTGGTAATAGAAAAATTACATACATATATATAAAAATATGAGGATTCTATATTTCTATTAATTTATGTATACACCACGTGTATATTTTGTTAAGGTATATTGGAATGTTCAATTTTACCTCATTAAGCAAGTTTTATATATTAAAATTAATTAATTGTTTTTATAGCATAACCAAACCGGCAGCCTGAGGCGTTCTCTCCTTGGATCTCGTTTGATCCCTCTGACGTTTCGTGCTGGCTCCCTCCCTCCGTTGATGAAGTCCTCAAAGCTCAGATCTAGATTGAGGCTTGACTCCTTGCCAGATCCGTCTAAGCGGTTCGATTTCGGTTGCAGTTTTTGGGTCTGGGGTATAAATTTGTTGTTTGGTTGGTTTCTTTGCTGTCGAGTGTGTTTCGGTGGTAGGTTGAGAATGTGTTCGGTTGTCCGGTAGGATTTGGGGAGGTCTTATCTTCTTTATTTGTTTATTAGGTGTGAGTTGCTTTTCGTTTTTATTTTGTTGTTTTATTTCGTTTAGTGCAGCTTTGTCTGTTTTTCTCTCCTTTATGAAGTTTGTTTCTCTTTTTTGGAGTTTTGCTTTGTGGTGGCTCGCCTCTTTGATGGAGTTTGTATCCCTTTGTGTGTATTGATAAGGCGAGTTGGTCCAATCTTCTGGTTTCAGTGTGTCACTTGACACTTTGAGTGTAGTCTTTTTAATTCTTAAATTATTAATATAATTGCCGTTGAAAAAAAAAAAGGTGAAAGAAAGAGAAATTATTTTTAATTATTAATTTAAATTTGAATTGAGCTGTAATAAAAATAATACTGCAACCGCAGAGGTCATTCTGGTAAATTTAAACCGAAATAAATTGGAGATGGCTTCCATACTTCACCGACAAGTCCNGAAGTATTTATTTCTCTTTTCGTTTTTAAATTGTGTGATCTTTCTCGGATCCCCTCTCTAACAATTCTAGGGTTTTGGCCTCAGTTTTCTCGATTTTGCTCTGGTTTACTGTGCTTTCTAGTTGGGGGAAATTATTGTGGGTTAGCGTGGATGGTGAGGCGATGGGTTCGAGCGGGAATGCTATAAAGTTGGAGGCTTTGCCCAAGGGTTACCGATTCCGGCCAACGGACGAGGAGCTTGTAACCCATTACTTGAGACTGAAGATCAACGGCCGTCACTCGGAGGTTAATGTCATCCCTGAGGTTGATGTCTGTAAATGGGAGCCATGGGATCTCCCTGGTATGCCTTTCTTCGTGTGTGTGTGCTCTAATAATTCTGTATTACCGTTTAGAAACTTTGGCATGCAGACGTGATGAACAATGCTCATATGCGTTTTTGTTGTATGCACGAACTGTCGTGTAAATATGTTAGATTTTAAACATGAAAAAATTACATCATAATAGTTTAAAAATGTGGAGCTGAATATTGTTAATGATAAAGTTGTGATAAACTGGACCAAATTAATATGACTTGAAGTTGGACCATTTGTTTCATATTGTATTTTCTTCTGGGAGTATGCTTTTCATTATCGAGGAAGAAAATTGACAAAGGAACCAGATGTGATCAGAACTCCTAAGACTAAGGAGATTTCAATCAGGATAAGAGATTGAATCTATTTTCCTTTAGACAAAACACCAAATTGATTAACTGTCATTACGAGTTGCTAAAACTAGAAGCAGATCGAAATAAAGGACAAAGATTAGAGTTTATCTTTTCAGAGTGATGTAGAACTTCACCTTCCTCTTTTCTTTTCTTTATTTATTTTTTTCTATAAATTTCTTCTTTTAAATCTGGCATAAGTTACAAGTATGTTAAGTCACGTTTGATATTCATGTGAGAGGTATGCGGCACTATGCAATCATTTAGTATGAAAATTTGAGGGATTGGTGTCCAGAAATTAAAGGAGTAACTCATATGCCTGGGGATTGGGACCCACAATCCTGGATAACTCGACCAAGGAAAAGGTCATATGTGAGTGGGCTGTACTAATGTATCTTTGAGTGGCCCCTACTGAATAGCAAAACATGGATACTTTGACTCTTATAGTTCCTTACCCGAGAGGTAAATGAAATAAAAACTGTCTGTAAAAATTATTAGGAAGAGTGAATCATGTTAATGAAACCATATTGATAACAATTATAATAAATCACGTTCCTTTCTCACTTTCTCCTAGGTTGAGTAATCAGATGCTATTTACAAAGCTAAGAAAAGAGAAACTATTCTAATCCTCAAGAAGCTGAGGGTGTTAAGTGGAGTTGGAGTAGCTGTTGCATCAATTAGTTTAGGTTTGAGTTAAAGGCTAATCCCTTGCACTGAACTTGACTGGTAGGCAAGAGATTTTCGTAAGCTGAACAAAAATAGGTTAAATCTGCTTTTTTTTTTTTTTTAATGAGCTAATCCAGCAATTTGAGGAAATATCATGTTCATTTTAGCACGAGGGAAGAACAATAGTGCATGCTGTCTTACCACAATACCACCATAGTTATTCATCCATATCATGCATAATGTAAAGCATAACAAAACATGCATTTGTCCTAGTTGTTTATTGATGAGGTACTGGATTATGATTTAGTGTCATCATAAATTATAGTTTCCAGTCTGTTGAAAGCAGAATGTAGCTTTGTTTGCATTTTTCTGTTTTGTCTTTTTAAATAAGTACTTGAATAGTAAACCTCTAACATATATATATATATAATTTTTGTTTTTCATTTAGCGCACTCTGTGATAAAGTCGGATGACCCAGAATGGTTCTTCTTCTGCCCTCGTGATAAAAAATACCCAAATGGTCATCGCTCTAATCGAGCCACGGAAGCAGGTTATTGGAAAGCCACAGGAAAGGATCGTGCTATAAAGTCTCGGAAGGGTCACTCTGATGCCCACTTAGTTGGCATGAAGAAGACACTAGTTTTTCACAGGGGTCGTGCTCCTAAGGGTGAACGTACAAACTGGATAATGCACGAATACCGTGCTACGGAACCTGATCTTGATGGCACTGGTCCTGGACAGGTTAATAGTTATTTTCTTCTCCCCCCTCTTTCACTATCTCCTATATGCATGCACGAGGACATGAACAGCCTGAGTTATCTACGAACATAATGCTTAATTATTATCTTGGACATATTACATCCATTTTTACTTTAATAATAATAATAATAATAATAATAATAATAATAATTAACCCAGTATCCAGGAAAAAGCAGAATATTTGATGTGGGTTTTTTCATAAGACCGGGATAAATTCACAAAAAATGCTTAATTATTATCTTGGACATATTACATCCCTTTTCCCTATTTTATATACACTTTGGAAGTTTGAGAAACGGCTTCGAACTCACTGAGATTGATGTTAATTTAACCATTAAACAGTCGCCCAATCACCGTGTCTCCACTTACAGTGTATCCAAGGATTTATCAAAGTTGAATATACAGATTCCCAAAATAATCTCTATGATTATTATTTGGAAAACTATACTGCTCTACCCGTTTTTTTTTTTTTTGGGAAATTCTTTTGAGGTGGTAGAATATTATCAAACTTCCTGAAATGATTAAATTCCAAAATGTTCTCCATGTTTGAATATTTTTTTGGATAACATACTTTAATAAACTTAATAATGAATAAATGCTTTAATTACTGTATTAATAATGAGGTTTAATGTGTAATGATAGTTTCTAATGTACTCTATTTACAAATAGCTTCCCTTGGTAATATTTAGAAAGTATTATCTTGAGACAAAAACTAGTTCTTGTATTACTTGTTTAGTAGGTGACAACTGGGGTTCTGTAGGTGGAGGGACCTACATTAATGAACATCATGTGTGTCTATTAGAAGTACTACAAACATTCAAAATCATGAGCTAAGCATCGTCAACATCTAAACAATGATTTATATTCAGAATATGAATGCTGGGACGGAAAGGATACCAGTGGCTGTGTCCTTGATTCTTATAGGAACTCAATATAGTTGTGAATGATGGTTTACCAGTATTGTTTGTGTTTTCCCCATATTCCAGGTAGACTATGTCCTATGCCGCTTGTTCCACAAAGCAGACGAGGAAGTACACAATTCAAAATGTGGTGAAGTTGACTGTAATAGATCATTTCCTTCGACAGACAAATTGTCCCCAGATGACGTCTCATCAGGTCTGTTCCGAGAACCTGCGATGCTTGATACAATCAGTGGCCCACATGACTTCAAGAAATGGTTGACAGATGATGCTGACTGTATGACTTCTACTAACCCAGTCCCGGTTGAAAGCTGTGCATCTGATGGAGTTGATCACTCAGGAGAAGAAACTGCTATGGAGGTTAGAAATATTGTTGAAAAAGACATTTTCATGTATATATCATTTTGGATAACAGGGGGATTTAAATCTAGAGTTCATCTTTTTCCCATTTTTGGGTCATATATATATCAGGTGTATGCACCAGTAAGACAAGCCTCAATGTCTGAAGATGCTGCATACAACCAATTCGAAGACAAGGCCTCAGGTCCTGTCTTCTCAAACAATTTCTCTGAGTTAGGAGCTTGTGTAGGTTCCCCTTTTGCTGATGACTTTGGCAGCGAACAAAACGGATTGAATTTTCAAGACGGTACATCAGAACAGGATGCATCGCTGTCAGAGCTTTTGGAAGGTCTTCAAAACCATGGGAACTGCTTTGGCGAAGCATCGACTGGCCCAATTTCGAATTTGTTAACTAGAGAGACCTCTAATACTGGAGAAGTTGACGGCCTAAAGCATCTACAAGCACCATCTACAAATGATTTTAAATTCCAAGGGAAGACGGATAGGAAAATCGTTCCAACTCAGGTAATGAGCTCGTGACCTAATATTTGTGCTTATATCATTTTTTTCTTGAATTGTGTCATTACTTGAATCTAGCTCAAAGAGGGATTGAAACATGGATCCATCCGTATGAAAAATAATATTTACGTTAAATTTTCACTTTAAAAAAAAAAATTGCTAGTTTCGAAATTTAGTGTCTTAGGCTCATGAATAATATTGAATGACACCACATAGGGTCAGAGACCTCCAAGTCTTTTACCCATTGCACCCTCTGCTGATCAGTCCCAGACCCATTATGCTGTTGAAGAAGCTGGTTCATCTGTCCATACAGCTAGGGGTTCGGGGTACGAACCAGTTGAGACATTATATCATAATAATCCTATCAGAGACAACAACACAGATGTAAGTGATACGGGAATCAAGATTCAATCTCGTGAGCCACGAAAGAAGCCGAGTTATACAGCTCAAGGAACTGCACCAAGGAGAATCCGTTTGTGGAATGGCTGTAGGAAGAAATCTGTATGTGGTGAATCATCTATTGATAATGAACATGAAGCACAATCACCTATTAGACAGGTTTGTCTCCTTTATTGTTTAAATATGCATGTGAATGTAGTTTTT